ATTAGTGCAATCTTCTCAGGCTACAACTTGGGTCCTGGACTGGGACTGGGCTTCTGCTTCTGGTTGAATGCACCTCCTGTTCAACGTTTTTGTGAAAAGGTGGGGGTGTATATATGTATATGGTGTTGTTTTCCCTCTTTCTTTCTGTTTTTAGTCTGCTATATTTTGCACTTTTTCTTATGTAATCGTGCTTCGTGCAATAATTTTTGTTTGGACCGTTCTGTTAATTGTAAAAGACAAGACCTCTCGAGAATCCCCCATATGTACAAATCGACAAAGCACAAGATCTGGGAACGTTGTGGGTAGTGGGTGATGGTACTCTAATAATACCGTCGACATCACAATGTCAATTTGGAGGCAGACGGCTGTGGCCTGTGGGGCTATCCGGCTATCCGCTATCGTATTCTCTTTTGGAGACGCATCAAAGATCAAACATGTTTTATGGGTCGATTAAGTTTGTGTCATCATTTCGGTGTGCAACATGCGAAACCCAAACCCTGGTCAGTTTCAGGACGAAAGAGCCATAAATTTGATTTTCCCAAAGTTTGCTCGCAACAAATAAAGGGGGGCATGGGCAACTCCACAGCCATTTGTATCCATGTTTACAGACAATTCTTCATCAAAATTAACATGGGGATCATTCTTTGAGAGGAATTCTAGACTAATAGACTAATGGACCAGACTGCACCACACCATAGGAAATTCATGTTCATGTTCATGTTTGTTTGAGCGATTCAGGTCGTATTTCAGTCTTTTGGAAGGTTAGACTTCAGCCATGGCTTTTCAGTTTGTGATTGCATTACTGAATTTAGTTTTGTTATTGTTCTTACTTCTTAGAGTAGTTTAATGGCAGGGGACGGGATGTTCAATGCTAGGGATCGATCATCGATATGGTTTAATGATCGAGTAAATCAGGGAATCTTGATGTTATTTGCTTGCCCAGCTTATTTATTAGATAGATAGCCTTTGCTTCATTACAGTCTCTATTGTATTATATCATATATTCATGTATGTACATGTACACAGACACACAGAGGATGAAACTATAAGATCATAATGCCAAACTAAGGCTGCGTTTGGCATCCAAAATTTCTCTTGGGACAAGGGTCTTTATTTTTTCATTTCCATTTGTCTTTTGCCTCCAAATATCCCCATATTACAATTTCTCCTTTATAACATACCTGTGATCTTCAACCATGATCATGAAATTAAGGTTCAGTCTTAAATCTATCATTAAAAACGTTGGCATCCTTACTTGTTTTTTAGTGATAGGAACTAACCACTAGTATTTTGGAATTTGGGTGACGGAGATGCCATTGGGCCCCATAATTCCAATTTTGCTATTGGACTAAATTGATCTAGAAAGAGCTTTCTGTTTATGAATCATATGGTGAAATTAATTAAAAAGTGAACAACAGAAATAAGACCGTAGGCCCATGGATTTGGTAAGGATTATTTGGAAAATCAGACCGGGCATTGAACCAGAAAGGAGCCAGAGCTCGATCGGTTTAATCGTGACATTCAACACATTTTCAGTAATATAAAGGGAATATGAAATGCCCTAGTTCAACAACGATTGAGCTATCAGAACATTGGGTGTTATTTCAACCAAGCACAAACATAGAAACATACACTATGAGCCTTAGCAGCAAGCACATTCTCTTTAATTTTGGTGCCAATTCAGCCTTCCAAGTAAAATTTTAATGTTCCATTTTTTTAAGAAATATTCCCCCACACCAAACAAAATCTCATTTTAATAGTGTGTTCCAAAAAAACAAGAAAAAAGAAAAAGAAAATCTCATTTAGTAGTATTAGTTGTAACCAAGATTCAAAGTATCGACACGTATCGGCTGATAAGGGTCGATATGTATCATTCCAAGACCCCTCCAATATGCCCCTATAGTGGGTGTATCAGGGGTCTGACTGGTTCAGGGGGTGGAGGAGACCTAAACCGCCCCCCCCTGAACCAGTTTCAGAAAAAAAAAAGGGTATCGATTCGCCCGATACGCCCCTACTGGTGTATCGGGCGTATCGATATTTTGAACCATGGTTGTAACTAATGTCCTTCTAAATTCATGTCACTATCTGCCTAATAGTGTGGTGCCATGTGTTCAATCTCTACAAATTTCAATACTCAACCCTTGGTTCACCTTCTAGAAATAGGTAATAACTTTGGTTTAGGATGTGCTGGTTTTGATGTTAAAGTGGCAAAGAATACTTTTTTTTTTTTTGTTAAAGGGGKGGGAATATAAGTGAAATATTTCAATGTGAAAAATTACCCCTAAACTGGTGGATGAGGTAAAAAACAATGAACATAGTTTATAAAATCCAAGGCAGGTGGAGGGTTCAATTAATAGATCTGGGGTTCGGTAACTTTAATTTATAGCTAGTCTTTAATAAATCAATCTAGGGTTTCAATAACAATCTGATCTAACGATATTTTCTGGACTTCTATCTAATACCATATCATTATTTAATGAAGATAGTGATGCAAAGTGCTATCACACTCTATGTAGGAATTTGCTCAAAAAACCATAATTCCTCTGCAGAAAGTGTTGGAAATTTTCAAAGAGGAATGAAAATTCAGAAAATTTGTGCTACCATGGGAGCTGAATAAATCAAACCACTTTCAAATAGGCATACTAGATACAAGGAAAAACAGATTCATCCAATCAAAGCCTATTGTGCTGGAAAATACATAACAGTGTACTCTCACTCCTTTATAGAAGCAATATTTATATAGCATGAAGGATGCCTATTATATTAGCCAATCTCTAATGTAGTCAGAAGATCTTTAAGTAGCAGAGATAGCCTAAAACAGTATCTTTGAGCATGATTTCCGATGTTCAATTGTGTTTTAAAAGTTGAATTTCTGAATCTACATGTGGGCTACTAACTTTTAGATGAGATGTAGCAACAGTCCATGCTTTTTGGTTCTGTGAATACAATTGACTGTTGCAATCATGACAGCTTAGACCCCTAATTTTATAAGTGGATAGTAGGAAATTTCTTGTGAAATCATAGCAGGAAATTACACATACAGATGGATTCATCTCAATCATCACTGAAGTCTATGGCAGTTTCTATGTCTCAGAAAAAGCAAGGTCAAAGAATTGCATAATTATGGTATTGTGGTTTCAATGTGAAGTTACGCACTTCATTGTTTTTGACATCTGTAACTTGGAATTTTCCAGTTACAGGCCTCCTAACTGACTGGAGTGTGTAAACAAGTAATCATTACACACACACACACACACTGTCATTACCTTCTATTCAACCAGAAGAATTTCACATTCGTTCTCTTTCCTCATCAAGTACTTTCTTTTTGTTTTTTTTTTTTTTTTTTTATTTGATAGACTCATCAAGTACTTTCCTTGCAACCCACAATGCATTCTACTGAGAGAATTACCACAAACCAAAGCTCCAATGGAGTATACAACCAAAGAGGAATTTATTTGAGAAGTCTAAAAAATTTAGTACCCTTGTGCTGTAGACAAAAGACACTAAACATATAAATCCAGGTGTAGAAATTCAACAACTCTTTCTCCAGCATATTAATGTGATTCAAGATTTGAGTCCATGAAGTGCTCTTCAATGGGACTGTCAAGAAACCATTTGTTAGAACAAGATTAAATGCTTCCTCACCATTGTATGCTGTCTTTTGCTTGAAACTCTATGGACTATGGCCTGCCTATTTTCTCTTGCTCACTGTGTGTTTGGAGTCGAATACTCAAGGACAGAATTGTGATCAGTGAACTCAAAAAAAAAAAAAAAAAAAAACAGCATTCCTCCCTAATTCCACCCTATAAAATCTTCAATGCAATTAGATCACCTCAAGACTCAAGAATGAAAATGAAGGTTATTTTCAGGTAAGAAAAAAATAATGTTAGGGTGGATTCCTTAGCTAGGACTGGGCCTCAAAAGTTAATGTTGTATGAAGTTCCACTTTTCCAGAATAAAATTTTAAAGGATGTACGAGGGATTGCAGAAATGCAGTCTAGAGTTGTTGATTTCTTGTCACTCCTGTTATATTGTATCATGACTGCCTTGTTTTTACAGCATCAATAGAGTTCACTAAGATTATTTTCACATTGTATGAACCTCAAGATCTGGCCTTTGCAAGGTTGATCACCATAGCGTAGCTCTGGGACTCTACGATGAGACACAACCTTTTATTCATATGTGCACATGGAGTTCTTGACAGTACTCTAGACATATGTCTCCACAACTGCATTTATCTTTTAGACTAGTCACATCCTTGATGATCAAACAATTTACATGGATCCATAACCATTTTTCTTTCTTCCAAAAAGATACATAACCATTTCTTGTACAGTCTCTGCTTCTCTGTGCAAATATGATAAATTCATAGAAGTTAAGATAATATAAACTTCGCTGATTCCACCATTGGTTTGATTTGCAATAAAATAAATTCACATAAGTTAAAACAAAATAAGCTTCAATAGTTTCTCAACTTCTAGGATGAACTGATTCCATTTGGTTCCTAATAAGAATAAAATAAATTATTTTTTGATAAAATAGTAAGGTAAACTTTACTAAAGAAAGAAGTATATGAGACGTATACAGAGAAGCCACAACCTGGCCCCACAAAAAAAAGAGACCACTCAACCATTAAAGTGAGACCAGATAATAAAATAAATTATTATATATCATAAAGATGCTTGACACAGCCTGAGGCCAATGAGGACTTGATTACAGTCTAACTGTATATACTGCTATCGGACTATAAAGAACAATGTATTAGCATAACATAAGCTCCATCATACGATATTATCTACGTTCCCAATCATCACTGGACAATTCACTCTAGATTTTCTAAGTCATAAACGCATCACATGACCTCTCTAACGAATATCAGTCGAACATTCGTTTTAATGCAAATATGATCATAACTGACTACCCCATTAAATCATAGGACTCCAACGTAATCATACAACCCATTATGCAATAAAGGCAAATATTCATCTTTCATCCATAACTTAAGCCTATAGCTCTGTATATAGCTCTCATTTTCAAAGTTAGATTACCTTGTTGGATTTAAAGAAACAGAGTCTCATTTCACCAGGAAAGCAAATTCTTACAAATTAATGCACATAGAAAATTATAAACAACTTGCCTTTTAATTACCATCGAAAAAACAAAATGAAACCCCATTTCCATCTCTGCTAAATAGTAAAACGGACAGAAGAAAAATTATTGCATACCTCTTGAAAAGTATTGTCGAATGATCACCCAACAAAACCATCAACCAAACAAGACCCTCAGAAACCTTTAGGCGTAGCTTCCCTTACCTCCGAAACCAGCGATTGATCAGCCATCGAAAGGCAATAATTGGCAATTTCCCTAAATCTGGGCACACTTCTGAGGTCCACCTTCGTCCCATCCTTCAATGTAATAATAATATCTCCCCATTCGCCAATAAAACGCGGCACCACTTGAACGTCTTTAATCACTTTGTAAGAAAAATCGCTCCGGTCTTGTCCCGTTAGACCAGAAATGACAGTCACCCTCAAATTGGTAAACCTGTACCTGAGAAAGAAAGCCCTCGAAACAGCCGCTAATGTCAGCGGCAACCAAAGTAGGGTGAAACCCAGAAGGAGATTAGCCACTAGATCGCCGTAGTGAGCTCCACCGTCGAAGAAGATGGTCTCCTCCGTTGCTTTGGTTGGGGCGTTGATGGTGGGTTTGTTTGTTGGCGAGGAGACGTAGAGTTTTGTGATGGGTCTGCTATTTCTACATGAGGGTTTAGAGGGGAAGTTGGTAGATGATAGTTTGGAGGATAAATTAGAGGAGACTCGCAGAATTTTGGGGGTTGCAGAAGGGTGAGAGAGGATTGGAGTGGAAGCCATTGTTTATCCGTTTGAGAGGTGCATGGACGGTTGGGTGGTTCAAGAGAAGTGTTTGTGTCTCCTTTGGTTACTGGTTTGTGGTTCGGTAACTTTGGTTGGATGACGGGTGGGAGGGCAGAGTGTGTGGTTGCTGCGCGCGCTGGGTGAACAACTATGTTTTGGGCCGAATCCCAGACAAATGCGGAAATACTGTCTGGATATTGCAATCGGCTTTCAGGAGCCCAAAATTTTATGTTTGTGAGCTGATCTCGTGTCCCAACTCCCAACTCCCAACTCCCAATCCCAAGCATAGTTAGCAAATTGGCGGGCCTATTATACGCGTCTTTAAAAAAAATAAAAACGTTCATTTTCAAGAAAACGTTTTGAATCATGCTTTTCTCAAACATACTAAAAAATTGTGAATAAATTCAGGAAAACTCTGATGTAACCGTTTTTTGTCACGTACCATTTTTTTGTGATGTATCGATTTTTTTATGGTTAAGTGCCTCGTCATTTGACCTGGTCCCAGGAGAGGATGGTGGAGCTCCTTGGTGGTGAAATGTCCGGTGGTGAGCTACTTGGTGACGAACTCCCTGGTGGTGAGCTACTTGGTGACGAGCTCCCTGGTGGTGAGCTGCTTGGTGACGAGCTACTTGGTGATGAACTCCCTGGTGGTGAGCTACCTAGTGACGAGCTCCCTAGTGGTGAGCTGCCTGGTGACGAGCTACTTGGTGACGAGCTCCCTGGTGACGAGATACTTGGTGACAAGCTCCCTAGTGGTGAGCTGCCTGGTGACGAGCTCCCTGATGGCTAACTGCCTGGGGGAGAGCTATGGCGAGCTGGGGAGAGCTATGCCGAGCTCCCTGATGGCGAACTGCCCGGGGGAGAGCTATGCTGAGCTCCCTAGTGGTGAGCTACCTTGGTGGACTCGTCATTTGACCTGCTCCTAGGCGGCCTATAACTTAGAGGATGGTGGAGCTCCCTGGTGTAGCGCAACCCAACTGCCCTCTACATGAGGTGATCTCCTCTCCTTTGTAGGCAGCGGGAGCTGAGGGACCTGCGAGAACTCCATCTTTTCCTCCTCTTTGTAGGCGGCGGGAGCTGAAGAACGTGCGAGAACTGAACCAGGGGGCCTGGGGGTATTTACCCGGCGGGGACTCTCCGATGCCTAAGTTAGCACTCTGATTGTCAAGAGCTTGAAGATGATATTAGAGGAATGAGAGAGCTAGAGAGCAGGGATTACCTCCATTTTTTCCTTCTCTCTCCTTGCCTTTGGGGGTCGGAGTCCTTATATAGCGGTGTCCTGTCAAATCAGGCGTGACTGCCTCTATCAAGTCAGGTACAACCGCCTCTGTCTCTCTACCGCAGTCGTCGCTGTCAGAGCTGAGGCGACGGGTGCAGGCGACTGTTGCAGAGTACGGCTCTGCTAGGCAAGGCGCCGCTTGGCGAGAGACGTGGGTGCAAGTCTCCAGATCTGTCAGGTACGGTTGTCAAGTAGGAGATCTTTCTGCAATACGCCAAACTGCTCTTCTGTACCGAGCTACCCTACAAGTGGCGAGCTGCCCAGGGGAGCTATGCCAAGCTCCTTGGGCTATGCCGAGCTGCATGTGGCGAGCCCCTTGGAGAGCTGCCTAGCTTTTTGGTGAGCTCTTTGGTGAGCTACCGAGCTTCTTGGTGAGCTCCTTGGTGAGCTACCGAGCTCGTGGGGTATGCATGCCGAGTTTATTGGTGGGCGTCTTATGGGTTGCTAGGTCGGCCAGGTCGGGTCGTGTGCCATGCTGATCCAGGTCGGCTAGGTCGGATCATGTGTCGGGCTGATCTAGGTCGGCTAGGTCAGTCAAGTCGGATCATGTGCTAGGCTGATCCAGGTCGGCTAGGTCAGTCAAGTCGGATCATGTGCTAGGTTGTGCCAGGTCGGCCAGGCCGGTGCCCGGGAGGGACACCAACTTGGTAAGTTGTTGCCTGGGCGTCGCCTAGTTGTCACGAGGTGCCACGTGTCACAATTTCACTGGAGGGCCAAATCTGCCCTCATCATTTTCCCCCCACTCCCGAGCTGAGAGTAACTCAGTGAAGGGAGTATTCTTCTTTTGGCATGTAAGACCACGAGCTAGTAAGTGTCGATCAAATTCCTTAGGCCTTGGGAGTCGTCTGTATGTGGCGATCTGCTTGTAAGTAGCGAGCTGCCTATATGGTGAGGAGGTCTCCGCCAGTTCAGTAGTGTAGCCCTTAGGCTTTAAGGGCAACTTATAGTTCACTTTTGCTGATTTTGCCCATTCTGAGGAAGCAACTGGGTATTTAGTAATAGTGTGGCCCGTAGGCTTTGGGTGCGACTCGTAGTCCACTCTTTTTTTACTTTGCCCGTGTCGAAGAGGTGACTGGGTCTTTAGCAGTAATGTGGCCCGCAGGTTTTGCCTATGAGGTGCCGAATTGACCAGGCGCTGAGCTACCAATGAGGTGTCGAGCTACCTGTAAGGTGCCGAGCTGACTAGGTGTCGAGCTACCTATAAGGTGCCGAGCTGAGCAAGTGGGTGCCTTAGAGCTACGATAGCACTGCATCAGCTTCGTAATGTCGATCACCCACTCCTACAAGAAGCTACTAGGAGCTCGACCTTCGGGGGCAGCACTACTAACTTTAGGTCGCCAGCTCACACGGGTTTCTTGGAAGGCTCAACCGGTAAGGGCGCCTATGTAGTTTGTTGGCCGCCAACTCCCGCGGAAGCCACGAAGAGCTCATCTTTGTAGGGGGACCTTGCGGAGAGGATTGATGAGGCTTTATCTAAATTGAAAGTAAGGTTGGTAGAGCTACTTAGTCTGTTAGCTCCCTGCATAGTCAAAAGAAATGAGGTGAAAAGTAGTAGCTCAATTTTCAATTTAGACCTTAGAATTAAATATGGAATAAATTAAAAAAATGAGTATTTTTAAAGAAAGTTCCACAATCTTATTCATATTTTTAATAGTAATGTAAATAAAGAATTATAGATGTGTTCATTTTTTTCTACAATTTTTTTGTATTTTTTGTGTGTAAAAATAATTTTGATATATCACACTTACTTTTTGTTTAATATGATAAATATATGATATTATACATGTGCATGAATGCTTTTTTTTGCAAAACTTATGTATTTTTTATTTTTTGTATTTTTATACTTTATTAATTTTTATTATTTATTTATGACATTAAAGGTTAACACATTTAACCAAAAAGTTAAACTATTTATTATTAATTTTTATATTTCATTTTTGGTCAGCCCTAAATTATGTATTTCATTTTCATTATCAATAAAAAATAATTCTTTTTTATTACACTTATTTTTTAATTTGAATAATAAAAATATCATAAATGTGTCTAATTTTTTCTACATTTTTTTGTAAGTTTCTATATTTATTTTTATTTTAAAATTTTTATTACCTGACTTCGTAGATTGATCGATTTGATTCAAATGGTTAAATTTCTTAGCCACCACTTGGATAAAAAATTAATGGTTTTGTTTTTTAGCCAATTTTAAATTATATGGGTTTATATTGTTAAAATATTGGCTAAGAATGACAATTTTCCTCATTTCCCTAATCCTTGCAAGGCACTTTGAATGGGGTTGGGATAGGGATGATATTCACTCACGATGACGAGGAGAGCACTCCCCACCTCATGGGGACCCCAATTTCCATATGTGTATATGTAAGCATGTCTATATATGTATATATGTATGCATATGTCTATATATTAATATTTTTAAAAATATGGTTGGATATGCTTAGATCTTTTTTATAGGATTGTAAACTTTAATTATTTTATTTATAATTTTTAAATAAAATAATAAACTAAAACAAAATGCTTGACATTATAAAAAATCATGGGGAGTGGGGATTCTCGCGGGGATGGGGATAGCCTTGTCCCCGTTGGCAAGGATGGGGATGAGGATGGGGATGGGGATGGGGATGGGGAGCAGCATTGTCATTTCTAATATTGGCATAGATCTAATTAGTAGTATTTATTAGTGAAAATTAACTTAAAACTATAAGATTTAATAAGAAAAATGGGATTTAATACCTTAAGTATAAGACTTAATGAGAGGGGATTAAATGAGGTGGAAACTAATAATTGTGGTTACATTTTTAACCCTTACAATTAGAGGTGGATTAAATACACAAATATAGGCATTTTTGTATTTTTGTGTGTAAAAATAATTGTAATATGTCACACTTACTTTTTGAAGGGGTGTCCACAATTCAGTTAACCGAACCATGGGCATATTTTGCAAACTGAACTAGTGATACCGGTTTTTCCATTTCTTCCAAACGAAACCGAACTAGTATCAATTAATCAGTCCACTAGCTTTAGTTTTTGACCAGTTCGGTCCTTCGGCTTTTTAGATTTTATATTTATAATATATATTATATAAGTATATGTATAATATTATATTATAAATAATAAATGATATATAGTAAATTATAAAAATTTTAAAAAATATAATCTATATAGTATATTTATAAATAAATTACTATAAATATAATATAAGTATATATTTATATATAATATATATAATGAATAAATATTTATATATAATATATAGAAAATATGTGACATATATTAAAAATATATATAAAATATACATACAAATATATACCAGTTAGTTTGGTTAATCGCCAGTTTTTTCTGTAGGTTAATTGAAAACCGAACCAGTCTTTTAATTTTTCAGAAATTCCAAACCGAAATTGAACCGATCGGTTCGATTAACCGTTCGGTTTTCTCGGTTCAGTTCAATTTTTTGGTTTTTCATGGACACCCCTAACTTTTTGTTTAATATATAAATATATGATATTATACATGTGTCAGAATGTTTTTTCTGCAAAATTTGTGTATTTTTTTCATTTTTATATTTTATTAACTTTTATTATTTATTTATGACATTAAAGGTTAACATGTTTGACCCAAAATTTGAACTAGTGATTTTTGACAAACAGTAAAATAATTTCATTTTTGGTCAGTTCTAAATTATGTAATTCATTTTCATTACCAATAAAAACAATTATTGTTTATTACACTTATTTTTTTAATTTGATTAATAAAAATATCATAAATGTGTCTAATGTTTTCTATTACTTAACTATGACTTCATAGGTTGATCAATTTGATTTGGATGGTTGAATTGCTTAGCCATCACTTTCATTAAAAATGGTTTTATTTTTGAGTCAGTTTTAAAATATATGGGTTTATATTGATAAAAATATTGACACAAATCTAATTTAATAAGAGAAAATGAGAGTTAATAATTTAAGTATAAGACT